TCTAATATTTTGCTATGTTGAGCCATAGTTGAATGAGCTCCCTTGTCTGCCCCGTCCATGTGCAAGTGTCTCTGGTGTACATGTGCAGGATCACTAGGCCCTGGAGCACACGTCTTCGCCAATACTGAATATTCCCACACCACTCTTCACATATACTCCAAGAATCCACTCCCACCAGCAGCACATGGGCACTCCAGTTTTCAACACCTTGCCAACACTGCGTCCTGTCAGATGCCTGGGGGTTCAGAGACACCCTTGGTGTGTGGCAGCCATAGCACTGTGACACCCCATTCTTAGATGATGCCCCTTCATGGGCTTATTGGTCAACTGGGTTTCATCTTGGTTGAGATACTAATTTATTTTCCTTGTCTATATTACTTTTTTCTTTTTTTTTTAAGTCAGAGTCTCACACTGTCATCCAGACTGGAGTGCAGTGGCATGCTCATGGCCACTATAGCCTCAAACTGCTGGACTCAGGTGATCCTTCTGCCTCAGTCTTCCAAATAGCAGGAACCACAAGCATGTGCCCCCACGCCTGGCTAATTTTTTAATTTATTGTATAGACAAGGTCTTGCCAAGTTGTCCAAGCTGATCTCGAATCCCTGGACTCAGGCAATCCTCTCGCCTCCACCTCCCAAAGTGCTGGGATTGCAGGCATGAGCCATTGCACCCAGTTATATCTCTATTTTATTTTTATTTTTTTCCCCACGCTTGGCTAATCTTTTATAGAGACAAGGTTTTTCTATGTTGCCTAGACTGGTCTCGAACTCTTAGGCTAAAGCAATTCTCCCGCCTCAGCCTCCCAAAGTGTTAGGATCACAGGTGTGAACCACCACACCCAACCTGAACATATAATCTTTTCTTTTCTTTTTTTTTTCTTGAGTCAGGCTCTTGCTCTGTCATTCAGGCTGAAGTGCAGTGGCACTATCACAGCCCACTGCAGCCTCAACTTCCTTGGCACGAGTGATTCTCCTGCCTCGGCTCCTCAAGTAGCTGGGACTGAAGGCTAATTTCTTAATTTTTTGTAGAGATAGCATTGTGCTATGTTGCCCAGGCTGCTTGCACTCCTGGTCTCAAGCAATAATTCCATCTAAACCTCTCAAAGTGCTGGGATTACAGGACTGAGCCACGACACCCAGCCTATATTTCTATTTTCTAATGGGTTGTGTTTGCTATCTTTTTAAAAAATGGCTTGTAGATTGATTTATTTATTTGGTCTTGTTTTGTGGCCCAGGTTGAAGTGCAGTGGTTTGGTCAAAGTTCACTGCAACCTCCAACGCCTGGACTCACGCAATCCTCTCACCTCAGCCTCCTGAGTAGCTGGAACCACAGATATTCTCCATCATACCCAGTTAACTTTTTTTTTTTTTAAGTTGGAGTCTCACTCTCTTGCCAAGGCTGAAGTGCAGTGGCACACTCATAGCCACCCCAGCATTGACCCGTTGGACTGAGGCAATCCTTCTGCCTCAGCCTTCCAAGTAGCCAGAACTACAGGCAGGCACTACCATGCCTGGTTAATTAATTTTGTATTTATTATAGAGATGAGGTCTTGCCTAGTTGCCTGGGCTGGTCTTGAACCCACAGGCTTAGGTAATCCACTCACCTCAGACCTCCAAAATGCTGGGATTACAGGCTGAGCCACTAAGCTTGGCCAGCAAATTTTTTTGTAGAGACAGGGTCTTGCTAGTTTCTCAGCCTAATCTCAGACTCCTAGCCTCAAGTGATCCTCCTGTCTCAATTGTCCAAGGCACTGGGATTACAGGTATGTGCCACCGAACCCAGTCTGGCTTGTAGTTTTATTTATGTATTTATTTGTTTATTTCTTGAGTTGGAGTCTCACTCTGCCGCCCAGGCTGGAGTGCAGTGGCATACTCACAGGCACCCCAGCATAGACCTGCTGGGCTCTGGTGAACCTTCCACCTCAGCCTTCCAAGTAACTGGAACTACAGGCACATGCTACCATGCCCGGCTAATTGTTTTATTTTTTATTTTTATTGTAGAGACAGGGTCTCGCCAAGTTGCCCGGGTTGGTCTCGAACTCACGGGATCAGGCAATCCACTTGCCTCAGCCTCTCTAATGCTGGGATTAGAGGCTGAGCCACCAAGCCCAGGAGGCTTGTAGTTTTAAATTGTGGATATAGTTCACTATTGAGATAGAAAGGATAACATTATTTCAGTTTTAAAATGCAAAAAAATCCAAATGTGTTTCAATCACATTATGATGGTAGAAGTAATCAGTAATATTAGTGGTACAGGATCAATTACAAGAAAGTGTTTAACAAACTAATATGGTAATAATTTTGGTGAAAGAGCTCTGAAGTCAGAAATGTGATTTGGGAACAAAAATAGGCTAATACAGAAGAGAAAAATTTAATCCATCAAAAAGAACAAAACAATGAGGAAAGAGAAGGATGATTTTTAATCCAGTGTGCCTGATATAATGCTTAACTATTTAGAAATACAAGTAGATTCTTAATCATAATTAAAATAAGAATAAAAACTTAAAGAAACAGCATAATATTTTTTAAAAAGGTCTTTCAGGAAGTAAAAATTTTAAAAAGATGAAAAAAATGATCGGCAGATGTTCCACACAAAAAGTAAAAATAAATATCTGCAGTAATAAAACAACTTGAATGAAAAGGCAAATGACAAATGAGAACAAACATCTATCATTTATGAAAGGCCAAGAGTAAACACAGGACCATATAACACAATGTTTCCATTCCAACAGAAGAATAAAACAGACCAAGAAAGTAACTAAAAACATCTGAGAAAAAAGATAACCTTCACTAATGTATGAAAAATGTACATAAAATACCATTACCAACCATTACCTCAAGGAAGATTCAAAAAGAATGGTCATGATATTTCATCAACAATCATCCTGTCATACATAAAAATGTCACATTAGAAACACTTTAAATATCACTTTAGGCTGGGTATGGTGGTATGGGCCTGTGGTCCTAGTTACTTGGGAGGACTGCTTGAGTCCAGGAGTTTGAGACCAGCCTGGGCAACATGACCCCCCTGAAAAACAAACAAAACAAAGCAAAACCATCTTAGACTAGAAGCCAAAATTCTTACAACCCAATATTAGAAAAAACCCCTGGAATCTTCAGAAAAGCTAGTAAATTTAACAAGGTTGCAGAAAATATGGTCAATACATAAAAATCAATTTGTATTCCTACCTATTTGTGACAAAAATGTAGAAGATGAAATATATTTTTAGCCAGGCTCGGTGGCTCAGCCTGTAATCCCGCGCCTTTGGGAAGCTGAAATGAGTGGATTGCCTGAGCCTGCGGGTTCGAGACCCACCTGGGCAGCGAGACCTCATCTTTACAATAAATCAAAAAATCAGCCGGGCATGGTAGCGCATGCCTGTAATTCCAGCTACTTGAAAGGCTGAGGCGGAAGGATCGTCGGAGCCCAGCAGGTCGAGGCTGCAGTGGCCGGGAGTGGCCACTGCACTCCAGTCTGGGCGACAGAGTGAGACTCCAAGTCAAAAAAAAAAAAGAAAGAAAAAGAAATATATTTTTAAATTACCAGAATATTTACAATAGCATTAAAAGTTTTGAAATTCTTAAAGAAAATGTTTATAAAATATGTGCCTGACCTGAACAATGATGAACTAAATAAGCAGAAGGATCCGACAAGCTCCTGAACTGGAAGACTCTGTATTGCTTTTTTTTTTTTTTTTTTTTTTGAGTTGGAGTCTCACTGTCGCCCAGACTGGAGTGCAGTGGCACGCTCCCAGCCACCGCAGCCTCAACCTGCTGGACTCTGGCGATCCTTCCGCCTCAGTCTTCCAAGTAGCCGGAACTACAGGCATGTGCTACCATGCCTGGCTAGTTTTTGATTTATTGTAGAGACGAGGTCTCGCCAAGTTGCCCAGGAGGATCTCGAACCCGCGGGCTCAGTCAATCCTCCCCCCTTGGCCTCCCAAAGTGCTAGGATTACAGGCTGAGCCACGGACCCCGGCCGACTCTGTATTGTTAAATGTCAATTTGCCCCCACACTGATCTATAGATTCAGTGCAGTCCCAGATAAGAACTCCAAGAGGCTTTTTAAAGAAATGGATGAGCTGCTTCTAAAATTTGTATGGACATACAAATCTCTTAAAATAGCCACGAGAACGCTGAAATCCAAGAATCAAGTTGGAAGACTCACACTACCCAACTGCAAAACATCCTATAAAGTCACCATGGTATCTGCATAAAGGATCAAAACATAGACCAGTGTAACAAGTAGAGCCTAGATGACCAGATACATGTGGACAACTGATTTTCAACATGGATGACAAGGCAATTTGATGGGAGAAAGAAAAATCTTTTCAATAAATGGTGCTAACACAACTAAATATTAACATTAAAAAACAAATGACCCTCATACCACACACAAAAAGTCATTTGAAATAAATCAAAGATCTAAATGCAAAACTTACAATTATAAGACTTCCTGAAGACACAGATATAGGAGAAAAATCTTTGTAGACTTGGGGAAACAAAGATTTGTTAGAACACAAGAAGCATAAAATCATTTAAAAAACCAATAACTGGATTTCATCAGAATTAAAGATGTCTAACCTTTAAAAGAGACTATTAAAACAATGAAGAGGCAAGAACTGACAAAGGATTTTTATCCAGAATGTGTATACCTATGTATACACACACATACTCTTTTAAAAGTTCTAAAACACAGTAAGACAACAAGCAACCCAAATATAAACAGGTAAAAGATGTGGACCCTTCAGAACAGAGGGAGAAGAAATGGCTCACAGCACATGAAAAAATGTTCAACTTCATTAGTCAACAGGGAATTACAAGTTAAAGCTACAATGAAATGTCTACTTTAACAGCCAAAATTAAAAACAAAAAAAGACAAAATTAAGAGTTGGTGAAGACATGGAGAAACTGGAGCCACTGGTAGAAGCGTAAGTGGTAAACCACTATAGAAAGAGTCAGCCCTTTCTGCCCACGGACACCGCCAAGGAAGCATCATTAAAGTCTCTCTCCCCATCACCATCAAGTCTAAGTCAGAGTCTCCTAAGGAGCCCAAACAGCTGTGGAAGCTTTTCACTGGAGGGCTGAGCTTCAAATCCACTAACGAGAGCCTAAGGAGCCATGGGAAATACTCATGGACTGCATGGTAATGAGACCCAACCATCAAGAGCTCCAGAAGCTTTGGGTTTGCCACATATGCCACTGTGGAGGAGGTGGATGCAGCCATGAATGTGACATCACACAGGTGGGTGAAAGAGTTGTGGAACCAGAGGGAGCTGTCTCGAGAGAGGATTCTCAAAGATCAGGTGCCCACTTAACTGTGAAAAAGATATTTGTTGGTGGCATTAAAGAAGACATTGAAGAATATCATCTAAGAGACTATTTTTAATAGTTTGGGAAAATTGAAGTCATTGAAATTATGACTGACCAAGGCAATGGCAAGAAAAGGGGCTTTGCCTTTGTAATCTTTGACGACCATGACTCCGTGGATAAAACTGTCATTCAGAAATACCACACTGTGAATGGCCACAAATGTGAAGTAAGGAAAGTCTTGTCGAAGCAAGAGGTGGCTAGTGCTTCATCCAGTCAAAGAGGTCGAAGTGGTTCTGGAAACTTCGGTGGTGGTCGTGGCAGTAGTTTCAGTGGAACTTTGGTTGTGGAAGAAACTTCGGTGGTTGTGATGGCTTTGGAGGCAGCTGTGGTGGTGGCGGACATGGTGGCAGTGGAGGTGGCTATAATGGATTGGGTAATGATGGAAGCCGTTCTGGAGGTAGTGGAAGCTACAGTGATTCTGGCAATTACAACAACCAGTCTTCAAATTTTGGACCCATGAAGGGGGGAAACTTTGGAGGCAGAAGCTCTGGCCCCTATGGTGAAGGCCAATACTTCACCAAACCACAAAACCAAGATGGCTATTGTGGTTCCAGTAGCAGCAGTAGCTATGGCAGTGGCAGATGATTTTTTGTTGTTGTTGAGTTGGAATCTCACTTTGTCATCCAGGCTGGAGTGTAGTGGCATGCTCACGGCCACCGCAGACTCGACCTGCTAGGCTCAGGTTATCTTTCCGCCTCAGCCTCCCAAGTAGCTGGAACTACAGGCTTGCACTACCCTGCCTTGCTAACATTTTTATTTATTGTAGAGATGAGGTCTCGCCAAGCTGCCCAGGCTGGTCTCGAACCCCTGGGCTCAGGCAATCCTCTCCACTTGGTCTCCCAAAGTGCTGGGATTACAGGTTTAAGACACCATGCCCAGTTGGCAGACAATTTTAGTTACTGATTACTGGGAGGAAACAAAGCTCAGCAGAAAGGGAGAGCCAGAGAAGTAACAGGGAAGCAACAGGTTACAACAGATTTGTGAACTCAGCTAAGCACAGTTGTGGCAGGGCCTAGCTGCTACAAAGAAGTTAAGTTTAGACAATATGGGCAAAAACTGGAGGACTACATTTGTAACTAATTGTATAACATGCTATTTTAGTTTCTGTTCTGTAGAAAATGTAAAGCATTCCAAACAAAGGTTTTTAATGTAGTTTTGGGGTTTTTTTTTTGCATCCATGCTGTTGATTGCTAAATGTAGTCTAATCATGATGTGTCTTTAAAAAAAAAAAAAAGACTGGGCTCAGTGGCTCAACTTGTAACCCCAGCAATTTAGGAGGCCGAGGCAAGTGGATTGATTGCCTGAGCCCAAGGGTTCGAGACCAGCCCAGAAACTTGGTGAGACCTTGTCTCTACAATAAATCAAAAAACTAGCTGGGTGTGGTAGTATGCCTGTAGTTCTGGCTACTTGGAAGGCTGAGGCTACTTGGATCTCTGGAGCCCAGCAGGTCGACTCTAGGGTTGCTGTGAGTGTGCCACTGCACTCCAGTCTGACCGACAGAGTGAGATTCCAAATCAAAAAAAAAAAAAACAAAAAGGTCAGTCATTTTGCATATGGTTAATCATACAACTTAACCTATGACAATTTCACTATCAAGTAATTACTCAAGAGAATGAAAACATAGGTTCACAGAAAACTTATACATGTTTATAGACACTTCATTCATAACAGCCAAAATTGGAAGTAACCCAAATATTCTTCAACAGGTTAATGAATAAACTAAGTGTGATACATTGCATGATGGAATACTACTTGGCCATCAAAAAGAAACAACCAGCCAGATGCAGTGGCCTATAATCCCAGCACTTTGGGAGATGGAGGTGAGAGGATTGCCTGAGCCTAAGGGTTTGAGGCAACATGGTGAGACCTCATTCCTACATTAAATAAATAAATATACCTGGGCATGGTGGCATGTATCTGCAGTTTCAACTACTTTGAAGGTTGAAGTGGAAAGATCACCTGAGCCCAGCAGGTCAAGGCTATGTGCTACTGTACCCCACTCTGAGCAAAGGAGTGAAATTCCAACTCGGGGTGGGGGGAGGAACACCCTACCAATACACACAACATGAATAGCACTCAGATCACTGGACTGCACAGGAGAAGCTGACACAAAAGACCACATACTGTATAATTCAATTTATATAAAATCCTAGGCTAAGAAAAGCCCATCTGTAGTGACAAAAGGAGTAGCAGTGATTGCCTGGGCCTGGGGCATGGCTTTATTGGAAAGAGACTCGTGGGAAGTTTTGGGGTGATGGAGATGGCCCATATCTTCACTAGTGATGGCTGCATAGCTATCTATACACACCTGTCAAAAATTCTGTAAACTTTACACTTAAAATAGGTGTATCTTATACCAGTGATAGTTCAAAAATGAAATTTAAAAAAGTAAAAATAAGATGAGTAAAGTGGCTCACTCCCGTAACCCCAGCACTTTGAGAGACAGAGGTGAGAGGACTGCCTGAGCCCAGGGGTTCGAGACCAGCCTGGGCAGCTTGATGAGACCTCATCTTTATGATAAATAAAAAAAATCAGTCAGGCATGGTGGTGTACACCTGTAGTTCCAACTACTTGGAAGGCTGAGGAGGAAGGATAGCCTGAGCCCAGCAGGTCGAGGCTGAGGTGGTCATGAATGTGCCACTGCACTCCAGTGAGACTCCAACTCAAAAAAAAGTAAAAATATACACAGCCAGTGGTTTACACCTGTAATCCCAGCATTTTGGGAGGCCAAGGAGGAAGGATTGTTTGAGCCCAGGAATTTGAGACCAGCCTCTGGGCAACACAGTGAGGCCTTGTCTCCACAAAAAAGTCAGATGCATGCCTGTAGTTGAGTTACTCGAGAGGCTGAGGTGGAAGGATCAACCAATCACCTGATCCCAGGAGGTCAAGACTGCAGTAGCCTTGATTATACCACTTCATTCCACTCTGGGTGACAGAAGGAGACTCCAAATTAAAAAAAATTTTTTTGAAGTAAAAATATAGAGACCATTAAAACTCATCATTTTAGTGAAGATTTTAAGTGTTCATCTTTAAAAAAAAATCTATGGACAACTATATATAAGTTGTACACAAATATCCTGCCAAAAATCCCTTCAGACCCTGTCTCCTGGCCATGAGAGTCAGGCCCTTTGGTACACACCCTGGATGCACACAACCAGAGAGTGTGCCCTGAGTCCCACTCTAAGTTGGTCCCATCTAAGTGAAGGCTACATCACAACTGTCTTTCTAGTCTTCAGGACTATCGACTGCCTGACAAATACTGAAAACCGAGTAAGAAACGTTAGAGGGGAAAAACTTGACAAGAAGAAATGATGTGGGTGATGGCTATGGTAACTGTACTGTGGTTGGTTATGTGAAAAATTGCCCTTATGTTCAGGAAACACACCTGTGGTATGATAAGGGTACAAATGTCTGCATCTGACTATCTAAAGATTCAGGGAAAAATAAACTGGAAGGGAGGGGTGAGTGAGGGAGAAAAATGAATGAATGAATTAATTAATTAATGGGGAAAGTGAAGTGAAAGATATGTAGAAGTCTATGACATTCTTACAATCATCCCCAAATTTGAAATTAATTCCAAAGAAAACAATTAAAAGGCCGGGTGTGGTGGCTCAAGCCTGTAATCCCAGCACTTTGGGAGGCCAAGGCGAGAGGACTACCTGAGTCCAGGGGTTTAAGACCAGCCTGGGCAACTTGGTGAGACCTTGTCTCTACAATAAATCACAAAAAATTAGTCAGGTGTGGTGGCATGTGAATGTAGTTCCAGCTACATGGAAGGCTGAGGCAGAAGGATCGCCTGAACCCAGCAGGTTGAGGCTGCGGTGGCTGTAAGCATGCCTCTGTACTCCAGCCTGGATGACAGAGTGAGACTCCAACTCAAAAAAAAAAATAGGATACCTCAAAAACCCTAAATGTGCATGGGTTTAGAACAGGATCCTCTTGCCTGCATGCGTGCTTTACCCGGGCATCGTGGCAAAATGCAGATCCTGACCAGCAGATCTGGGCACCCAAGAGGTTGCATTTGAAGTTGCCCTCAGTGGCTTTGTTGCTGGGAAGAGGGCAGTGAGGGGAAAGCTGTCTTCCTGGCTGCTCCGCAAAATGGAAACAGGCCTAGGAAGTCGCTGGGCCTGCTCATGCTATGGGAGACAGCCCAATGCTGGGTTCTCAGTGGGGAAGGGGTAGCAGTCATTCCAGAGAGGATGGAAGTTTCCAGTACTGACAGCCCCTGGGGGAAGGACAAGCAGAGGGGAAGGTTGTGCAGGAGGAACTGGGAATGAACATATCAGCAGAAGGGGGCCTGCTTGTCCCTGGGACCCTTGGTCAGTCAGGGTGTGAGAATCTACCTGCTATGGTCTGAACACAACCCCACCCCCCATTTCTAGTATTGGAAACTTAATCCCCAGTGTGGCCATGTGGAAAGTTGGGTCTTTATGAGATGGCTGGATAATGAGGTCTCTGGCTCAGGAGTGGATTAATCCATTCAAGGGTTGGTGGGCTAGTGGGCTGATGAATGGGTTATCCTGGGAGTAGAGCCCATGGCTTTCTAAGGAAAGGAAGAGACCTGAGCAAGGTGAGAGCGTGCAGCCTCTCCCCATGGGACGGCTCAGACACTGAAGCCCCAGCAAGACCTCCTCACCAGGTACCCCCTGACCGGGGCTTTTTGGCCTTCGTACCTGTATGAAGTTTCTTTTCTCTATAAAGTATACAGCTTCAGGTATTCTGTTATAAGCAACAAAAAATTAACACACTGCCCCCAGCTGAAAACAAGATAAAGCTCAGTGTGCAAGGATAGGCATGGCACCATGGAAGCAAAGTCAGGTCCCAGGCCCAAGGGTGGAGCCACCCTCAGTCACTGACAAGACCCACACAGCCACTCAGCAGGATGCCAGAGAGCTTTCAGGTCACGTGGAAAGGCTCATGTGTTAGGGAGAAGCAGAAATAGGCCAGAAATCCACAGCAAGATCCTGGAGGGGCACAAATGACACAGAGAGAAGCCCAGAAGGAGGTCACCACAGCCCCAGGGCTGCTCACATGGCTGGGAATGAGCAGTATCTTTTCACTTTATAAGTTTTGCCAGTTTTCACCATAGAAGGTTGAAGAAAATAAATAAGTCGATTTCAGATTTAATCTTCAGAGGAGGCTTTTGTAATTCCTCCCATTAAGTACACCACTCATAAACAAACCCAAGACAATTCTGAGGCTGAGAGTGGGTGGTGGGATGGCCAGGGACCTTGGAGCCACATGGCAGGTTCCCTGGTTTTTCTTCCTGTCATGTATTTCCAAGATTTGAAGCCAGAGGAGCCAGCAACCAGGAAATGCCAACAGGCACAGCCAAAAAAAACAGGCCCCAACCGAAGCCTGCTCCCTCAGAAACAGAACCCGGAAAAGGGCCACCCAGCAAGACATATAATACCTGCTCTGCACCAGCTAAACACCACAGAAAAAAACAGCTCTCCTCACCAGACCAGCAGAGAGTGAGAGGGAAGCCTGGACTTCCACCTCACCAGGCTGCAACGAGGCATTCTGACACCCCTGCTGGGGTGGCCTCGGAGGAGGTCACAGAGCTGGGACTTCCACCCCAGTTGGCT